CCACTGTTATGCCTGGTATCGGGGGGGGGGGGGGGGAATCCGTCAGTGCATTCACACTGACGTAGTTCATGTCCTGCCAGTCAGAAAAGGGAAGTTACATAGGAAATCTGGCAGCAGTGAGATCTTACCCCACTTGGGGGTAACAATAATAAGAAAATCAGGCCAGCCTGCAGGTTGCAGAGATGTCATTAGACCATGGCTCACCTGAAACAGAGCCCAAGCAGCTACTTGCCCTGTTTATGCCTAAGGCTAGTGAGCAATAGCAGAGCTTTGCAATTACTTGGTAACCTGAAGTGGAAAAACTCCTAGCAAGAGGCTCAGATTGAAATGCTAGGATGGGGGGAGAAGTGTACACGCACATTCTTTCCAGTAATGAAATGACCAGTGTTATGAGAGCAGTTCCTTGCTCTTTCCACATAAAGGCCTACCTTGGTGAGTAGCACAGGGTGACTAATAATGACGCTTTTCCCTTTTCTCCTAGGTCAGCAGTTGGATTGAGAATGTTGGCAGAAAACGGCTAAAGGAAACAATCAACTTGGATGATTCTTTGGAGATGCTGCTTCAAGCACAAAAGCAGTTCAGGGAGTTTGATCTTGTTGCCAGTGTAAGTGTTGTCCAATGGGCAAAATATATTTTCCAGAGTCTGAGTTGGTGCCTTGTACATGTTCAAAGAAAACTGTGATGCTAAGGTGGCATTGATAAAGGGTTCATCACCAAGGTGTGTGTTGTTCCTTCACACTACTTAGCTTCCCTGCTCTCCTCTTCTGGACAAAGCCACCAGCTCAGCACCTTAGTAAATGGTATTTGCAGTCCTAAGGAAAATAACTAGTGATGGAAGATGGATTTATTTTTTTTTTTTGTTACTCCCTTGATATGCTTGTAACACTGCCTTTTTTTGTATCCTAATTGACCTATGGCCTTGCTGTGTAGGAATTTACAAGCTGCTGTGTGGTTAATATAAATCATAAAAGAGGTTAGGGCTCTAGAATTCTACTGTAAACAAGTATAGCCCTACTCATGTGATTTGAACCTTAAAACCCAGTCTAATTAGCCCTAGCTGTTAATGAGCTTGAAGACTATCTACTATCCGTGTCAGGTCTCTATCCTCATACGCAATTCCATTTTGCTTGCAGGAATATTGCAGAAGGGGGCAGGAAGCACTAAAGAAGATGGATCGATGGGAAGACTTTTCCTCTGTGGATGTACATTCTTACAGGGTAAAGCTGCAGACCTACAGAGATCAACTGGAGGAGTTCTGCACTCAACTGGATGAAAACAGGCACCGAATCTGTGAGACAGTCAGGCTGTATGAATTCTTTGACAAGGTAAGATAAGGCATCTGCTACACAGAGGAGAGCATAAAAAAACCTACTTGGACTCAGTTTGGAGCTTGGTTGTTTATGAAAGATGTGAAACTGTGTGTGTGCACTAAAGGGTCTATGATCTGCAAAAGCCCCCACTTGCTCACATGTCTGCAGTGATTTTTTCAAGTCAGTACGTGGAAGAAGAGGTGAGTGTGTGTTCAAGAAAATGGCCACATCTGTTAAGAACAGAAGTCTTCTGCTGTCTGAGCTGTAGCTTTTAGGCCCCTCTCATGGTCTCAGTGTGCAGAAGGATCATGGTAGTGCTGGCTCCAACAACAAGAGCCAGGAGATTGGATGCTTGGTTCCAGTCTTGACCACCATGCCAGGGTGGGCTGTCTGCATTTTGTTCATGCTGTATCCTTACATGCTGGTAAATTCTGCCTTTTGACACATCAGGAGTAGCACCCTGCTATTCAGCCCTAAATATAGCTCAGCTCCTTTCTTGTGGAGGCCTGTGTGAGGGAACAGAGCACCAGAATGGGATGCTGGGAAGTGTGGCTGAGAGAAGACAGGGAGTGTGTTGGCCCAGGCGTCTGGGAAGCAGAAGAGGATGTGTGTGGGTGACTGTGCTGAGCATCTGGCCTTCTCACCTGTCTGGTTTAATGCACATGCACCCATTTAGCAAACCTGCAGTTGGATTTGGTGTACTTTAATTTCTAAAGTTGCAGATGAATAAACAGTAGGATTTTTTAAGTGCATTTTAAAATACGGCTTTGGCAAGCACAGAAGTCCAGGGAGCCTGTGATCCATTTATTCCACACTTGTACAAACATTGGGTATTGAAGTTCTCAAATTCCAGAAAGAATAGACACTAAAAGTTAAGCTGTACCAGATGTAGGTGCCACTTAGTTTCTGTCTCTAAGCTGCCTTGGCAGCTAGAAGTGCTCAGAGGAGGGGGGAGGAAATTGAGCTAAACATGAAAACATTGAAAAGCATCCTGTATGAGGGAGGAAAGTGGGGAAAGCAGCCCAGAGCTTTGTTGTCAGGACATGTGAGGCTTGAGTTTGATGCTCTGCAGGTCTGCTCTAGCTCATCTATGCAGTTTGCTGTGGGAATGTGTCTTTCCTTTTTTTAGACAAGTGCCTCCTGTGCCATAGGAGAATGGCAAGAACCCATGCTCTGCTCACCCACTGAGCACAGATTTTCAGGGGCTGCTCTGGTCCCTGAACACCCCTTGCCTTCATGAGGGATCCTGGGAAGGATCTGGGGAGGATAGCTTTCTCTTTCTTCTGATAAACTGAGGCACACAAAGGTGCCGTGTCTTGCTCGGCTTATTGTCAATTCTGTGACCAAGCTGGACATTGGCTGGGTGGGTTCATACAGGACCAAAGTTGGAGATCTCTGGAGCACGGACAAGGACTATAGCATGTGATGGCTGCTCCATTCAAGGCATGGAATCTACATTGCAGTATTAGCTCTTGAGCTGCCAGGGTAGTCAGACATGACTCAACAGCAACAGATGTTCTACCACAGCTTCAAAGCCTTTCAAAGCCTGGGCCATTTGTAGGGGTACAAATGTTACACAGACCCCAGTGATGGCCCATTTAGTTTCTTAGAGCATCGTAGCACCACTCATACAGCTTCTTTTGGTGGCTGAAAACTGGGGGATTCAGTCCTTGGCAGCAGTGGCATCATCCCTCTTGGTGGTGCCTTTCATGCTGCACAACCCCAGTGAAAACTGAGTGATAGTGGCACAGTGTATTTGCACACTGCTTTGGTGTGGAGATGTATCTCACTTGGTGAGGGAGGAGGGTTTTGATCTTACTGGTTTCAGTAGAACTGTAAACAATGCTGGTATTGTAAATATAACATGTGTATTGTGAACTGGTGGCCAACTGAAACCAGGGGTGTGGAGGGGACATACATGCTGTAGCTGTAGGATGAGTGCAGAAATCACTGCACAGCATGAAAGTTCTTTCAGTACCTATTATGTTGATCTTGATCTCCAGAATGCTTTCTGCCTTCCCAAAGCAAAGTCAGTGGTGTGATCTGAGAGGTGGAGTGGGAAAGCGAAGATTTTATCTAAACTGATTTCACTGTCTTCTGATGCTGAGCTGCTTTGACCTTCCTGCAGTGACCTTGTCAGTGCCTGCCTAACCCCCTTCTCTCTTCCTTTATAACTGAGAGGATATCAACAGCAGGAGTCTACACTAAACAGTGTCCTTGATTTTTTTTCCTTCTTGTAAAGAGCCTGCAGTGTGCCAGGCCCCAGGATTTGGGGAAAAAGCCTGAGGATGCGTAAGCAATGTACCCTATGGTAATGAGCTGGCAAGCTTAGATCTCTCCAGACATCTCAGCATGTGCCAAGGGAGTGGAGCACCCACCACGAGGATCATGGTACCCATCCCTCATGCACCTCGTCACCTGCTAGGAGTGGGAGGCTCAGTTCTGCTAGCCATTCTTCTGCGTGGGGTGGGCAAGTGTTTAATAGGGTGCTGCCTGTGACTGCTGGACAGGCCATGGGACAGAACGGCACAACCCCGTATGGTCCGCCAAGGCGCTGTACTGTGTTTTTCACTGCTTGGCAGTTCCTGATGGCCTGTCAGAGCTCCCTGGGATGAGGCAGGCTTAGCTGGGCCAGACCACATGGAGCTTGCACATGGGCTGGCAGGGTTCTCTCCCCAAAGCCATGACTGGTGCCAAGCTGGATGTTTCCATTTGTCCTTGCTTACTTTGCGGCAGGAGCTCTTGGTGCCTGACAAGGGCTGGATGATGGCTGGGCTGGAGCAGGAGGAGTGGTGAAGGAAGCTGCCTTTCCCATCTCTGATTGCAGGCGAAGGATTGTTTTTCAGTACCACAGACTCAGTGTGGGCATACTCAAGGACCTGCCATCTTTCTGTGGTTTCAAGCCTGGTCTGGCCACTGTCCCTTGTTTACTCAATTCCATGACTGTGTGGGGATCTGGCACTACACAGTTCTTAGGGGGAGAACTGGGAAGCTGAGCAAGCAAGGGTGTGTATGTTCTACCAAAATCACTGATGTCTGCTTTGTTCTGGGTTGCCTGCAAGGGCGGCCCCCAGTACCCTGCTTCCCAACTGCCTCTCCTGGCTTTACAGTAACACCATCGTTAGCAGGAAGATCTAGAGCAAGTCTCCCTCTCCTTGCTTACTGTGTTAGCCTACACACTTTCCCCTTTCTCAGGCTTCCTTTGGGTGAAATTATTTCCCAGGTGACTCTTACATCTCAGGTCTCTGCATGCTCTTGGCTCATAAGCAAAGTGCCCAGCTGCCTGGACCGTGGGCTTGAAGTGGCCCATGTGGGAGCTGTGTGCTCTGCCAGCACTGCAGCTACCTAACTTGCAGTGGCATGTCTAATGAACTGAAGCACACAGCAAAGTCTCTGCCAGCCCCGGGACGATAACCAGTCCTGCAGAAGGTCGGTAGCAAAGGCACACGATACTTGCTGGCAAAAGTCACTCTGGAGGAAAGCACTGGCCCAACCAGAAAGGGCAAAATCCCTTCACACCAACTGAGCACCTTCGTACCCTGCAGCATGTGGCACTCAGAGCCTGGCAGTGGAACTGCCTTTATCATTACAGGAGGGCTTGAGGCAGCCCCAGGGGCTTTTTTCTACTTGTTGGGATGTTGGTGCTCAGGGAAAGTATGGGCATTGCTCTGCTGTGGCCTGGGAGCCTGGTGCAGCTTGGGGCTTTGCCTTGCATTTCCTTTCTGAGAGAAGTCATTTAGAGGCCTGGTGCTCAGGGTTATTGGTGTGAGGACGCTTGAGAAATAGTAGTGTTTCTCGTTGGGATTTCTTGGGGCTCCATGAGCTGTTTCTTCAGGTGTGTTCGCTGTCTGCCAACCCTTGGATCCCTTCCCTCAGTAGCGATCTCCAGCTGTCCCTGGTTTTTCTGCTGCATACAATTTGCTGCTGCTTCCAAGCTCTGTTTGGAGTGGGTAGAGCGCTGCCCAACCCCTCTCCATCTGTGTTGACATCTCTTGTGGTGTGGGTTACCTGCGCTCACGTGTGGATCTGCCCCCACAGCGGGTTCTCCTCTGCACTCCTCCTCCTCTGGCTCTTCTCCTCAGCCACTTTGTTCTTTGTGGCTTAGAAAACAAAGCCTTTGGCAAGTGAAGGAGGTGCCTGCCCTTCCTGGGGGAGGGCCAGCTGGCCTGCATTTGATTATGGCAGCGCCTCCTCATCCCTTCCCATTGTCCTTGCTGCTGTAGGAATGCCAGCCTTTTTGCGCTCCATCGTGTGAACAAGTGTTGCTGCCTCTGGGGCCCAAAGAGGGGCTGGGGCCCTTCTTCCCATCCCTCCAGGCCCCCCTGGCAGAACCTCTCTGCACATCTCCATGCACCTTCCCTCCGAGTCTCTTACACCCCCTCCTGACTCCGGCAGCAGACGAACACAGCAAACACTCTTGTAAGTACCAAGTGTGTGGCTCCCCGGCTGACGTGTGAGTTGTAGTGAGATTGTTTGGAAACAATGTAGAGAAGGCTTTTCACTCGGTTGCATGTGCGCGTCTGTATGCATCCAGCATGAATCAGAGTGCTTTGTGTATGTCTTTTGTGTGCTCGGACAGAGCCCTGTGGGCTCTGTGTATCTTTGCATGGTCGCTCCGAATGGAACGCCAGGGTTGTGCTGTCTGTAGTACAGCAGTGCCTGGCCCATCTTTCTCTTTATTAGAGGTTATTGCATGATCATTTCAGTGGGCATAATTTAACTGCAGCTAGAAGAAACCCATGCTGGGATTACATGCCTCCAGCCTAGCTGGATGTACACACGGGGCAGGTGGTACCTTTCGATCTTCGTGGACTTCTGTTAGAGGTTGGGACAGCGCAAGAGGGAGGGGGCTGCTCTCCTCGACTGCTCCAAAGTTTGCTGGGCTCCTGTCCTGTGAGCGACTGAGACCTGCTGGCGCCGTGTTCCTAGCTTCAAGAGAGAGAGAGCTGATCTCAGATGTGACATCAGAAATCCAGAGAATGAGAGATCAGCTGACTTTCAAAGGCATTATTACT